CACCTGAGATTTTAAAAATAAAAAACCAATTTAAGTCAATGATATGGGTTCCAGTGGCAATTAATAGTCATAATACTTGAGGGGCATCTGGGTGGCTCAGTCGGTTAAGCTCAGATCATGATCTCACAGTTTGTGAGTTTGAGCCCTGCATCTGGCTCTGGGCTGACAGCTCAGAGACTAGAGCCTGCTTTGGATCCTCTGTGTCCTTCTCTCTCTGCCTCTCCCTTGCTTGCTCTCTCTCTCTCTCTCTCTCTCTCTCTCTCTCTCTCTCTCTCAAAAATAAATAAACATTAAAAAAGAAGAGAATAGTCGTAATACTTGATTTACATCAAATTTCCCTAATTTTTAGTTTTGAACATCACTTTTACATTCATTCACAGCAATCCCCTCAGGTGGATATTATAACCCCCATTTTAGAGATTAACAAATGACTTTGAGGTTTTAAGGGCTTTGTGCAAAATTGCCCAGATGGTAATTTTCAGATTAAGTTATAGAATGCAGTTTCCACTGCACTGCATGGCCAAAAATCACAAAAAGACATATGAGAAATGGTAAAGTTCCTAATAGGAGTAAAGAAATATCCAGGGAGAAAATGGGAAATAACTGTAACAAAACTGATGTGTCAACAAAAATGTGTGATGGGGCCAACCTATAAGCAATGTAAAGACTGGATATAGACATATTTTAAGAAAATACATGTATTTAATTTTATTTATTTTTGTAAGTATCTCTATGCCCAATGTGGGGCTCAAACCCACAACCCGGAGATCAAGAGCTCACATGGGGCACCTGGGTAGCTCAGTCTGTTGAGCATCCGACTCTTGGTTTTGGCTCAGGTCAAGATCTCACAGTTTGTGGGTCTGAGCCCCTCATGGGGCTCTGTGCTGAGGCACGGAGCCTGCTTGGGATTCTCCGTCTCCCTCTCTCTCTGCCCCTCCCCTGCTCATGCACTCGCCCTCTCTCTCTCAAAGTAAATAAATAAATTTTAAAAATTATAAATAAAAGGGGAGTCGGAGGGGCGCCTGGCTGGCTCAGTCAGAGCATGCAAATCTTCGACTCCAGATCGTGATTCTGAGTCCCAATTCGGATGTAGAGTTTACTTTAAAAAAAGTTGGAGGGGCACCTGGGTGGCTCAGCCGGTTAAGTGTCTGACTTCGGCTCAGGTCATGATCTCACAAGTTCGAATTCGTGAGTTCAGGCCCTGCATCGGGCTCTGTGCTGACAGCTCACAGCCTGGAGCCTGCTTCGGATTCTGTGTCTCCCTCTCTCTCTCTCTCTGCCCCTCCCCAGTCATTCTCTGTCTCACTCTGTCTCTCAAAAATGAAGAAATTTTAAATAAAAATTACTTTTAAAAAAAGTTGGAAAGCTAGAGAAATGTTAGCATAAATTTTAAAGGTGATGATACACACCCTCTTTAGATAAAAGGTTATGCAGTGGCCTGGAGAGGAAAAATCAATGGGGCTTTTCATTAGCCCGTTCATCTCTACCTAGGAAAGTTTCTTAAAACTCCTGTCCCCACATCCTGAACTGGTCCTGACCTCCCACCTCTGGGCCCTGCTGTGGCTGCTAGGCCTCTGCTTCCTCCTGACGTTGCAGCCCACCAGATCCAGGATGCATGCTTAGCTCCGCACTCCAGCCCAGCCCCAAGTCCCTGAATACCTTATCTGCCTGTGTTTTTCTGTTACTTTAATCCAATCCATGGAAATGGGCTTCCTTCCCCCTAGGATCCAACTTTTCAGTTTGTATTTGTCATCATGCCATATGTCTCTGTCGTTTTCCAGAAACCCCTTTGTCAGTCCCGATCCAGTGACTTAATTCTCAGTAAATGAGTTCTTCTGTGTGCTTGTTGGGAGTCCTGGCGGTAAGCATCTCTGAAAGTTTTGCTGAGACTCTAGTCCCTCCCCACCCACCCCCCGCCCCCAAATGCGTTTCTGGCGGGGCTGGGGTGGCCCTCCTCCCACCTGTCCTGTCCAGGCACTGAAGTCTTGAGGCAGATCCTTCCTCCCTCCCTATCCTTGCCTTTCCTGCCTGGGAACAGAACTTTCTGTCTCACACCCAAGCCTCACCTGGTTATATTGGTAGTGGGAGCAATAACGTGTAGTAAAGTGAATTAGAACAGGTAAGGGGGCGCCTGGGTGGCTCAATCGGTTAAGTGTCCAATTCTTCATTTTGGGTCAGGTCATGATCTCACAGTTTGTGAGATCGAGCCCTGCATTGGGCTCTGCGCTGATAGCATGAAGCCCGCTTGGTGTTCTCTCTCTATTTCTCTCTGGCCTTTCCTTGCTCATGCATTCTCTCTCTCTCTCTCTCTCTCTCTCTCTCTCTCTCTCCCTGAAAATAAATAAATACACATTAAAAAAAAAAAAAAGAAGAACTTTAGGGTGCCTGTGTGGCTCAGTCGGTGAAGCGTCTGACTTCGGCTCAGGTCATGATCACATAGCTTGTGAGTTCTAGCCCCGCGTCAGGCTCTGTGCTGACAGCTCAGAGCCTGGAGCCTGCTTCAGATTCTGTCTCCTTCTCTCACTCTGCACCTCCCCTGCTTGCACTCTGTCCCTCTCTGTCTCTCTCAAAAATAAAAATTAAAAAAAAAAAAAAAGAACCTTTATGCACAATCAGTGGCTTACTCTCTCAGCTACTACCCTTTCCCATCCCCCCACACACCAGAGACATCACTGATACAGGGACACCAAAGATAGTGTCTTATTAGGAAAAGACTGGGGGGTGCTGACATAAACTGAAGGTAGAATGATTCAGGCCTTAGAGGAACCCTTCTCTTGCCATCCCACCAAGTTTCTGTCTTCAGAGAGAAAGTTTTTATGGTTTTAATTTTTTTAAAGAGATCTTATTTTTTAAGTAATCTCTACACCCAACATGGGGCTTGATCGTACAACCCCAAGATCAAGAGTAGCATGCTTTACTGACTAAGCCAGCCAGGTGCCCCTCATTTTAATGTTTTTCTTCAGGTTTCTCGGCTTACTTTCCCTCCTAGTTCTCTTTAATAAGTAGGCTGTCTATATTGTGCAGAGGTTAAGAAGCTCCAATTGGACAATTTGGGTTCAAATCTTGGCCCTGACATTTATAAGCCCGTTGACCTTGGGCAAGTCTCTGACGGTTTGATCTTTTGAGAAACGGTGATGAGGTTTTTTTGCCCTGAAATGAGACAATCCTTGAAAGGTGCAGGGCTTAGAGGGTACGCACAAAATAAGTTGCAATGATTATTAGTATTAGTACTTTCTGAACCCAAAACTAAAAAAATCCCCCAAATGGAAGAAGTCTTTCTATGATAATTTACTATAAGTTTAAAGGCTGTTTTGTACTAACCTGATATTTTTCTGGGTCCCCACATTCAAGAATTGGAAATTCTGGATATTCATACTTTTTGTTAGATTCAGCAAATATTAACTCACTAATGATATGTAGAATCCAATTTGAACCTATAAGAAAAATCAGAGAATCAAAGCTCATTAAAAGAACCTTGGTATAGCAAAGGCATGTTACTTGTGCATATACATCATAAAAATTAAAATCTATAGCCACTCTGTGGTATGTACAATTGGTTCTTCTGCATTTGAAATAAACTGGGCTATGGAAAGAAATAGAGTTTTGTGGAAAATAGAACGTACTTACATTAGTATAAATTCAGGTTACCTTATTTTTCAGATTTCTCTTTTAATAAGAGGCAATTCTTCTTAAATCTACAATATGTTCCTTATAGAACAATGTTATGTTATAGAAATGATTGTTTATTATATAGCACATATTATTGTACCTTACATTAGTAAATATTTTCTTTGAAAAAAATTGTTTAATGTTTATTTTTGGGAGACAGACAGACAGACAGACAGAGCCTAAGCAGGGGGCAGGGGGGCAGAGAGAGTGGGAGACACAGAATATGAAGCAGGCTCCAGGTTCTGAGCTGTCAGTGCAGAGCCCCGACGCAGGGCTCGAACCCACGAACTGTATGATCATGACCTGAGTCAAAGTCAGACGCTTAACTGACTGAGCCACCCAGGTGCCCCAGTGAATATTTTCTAAAAAAGTATATATAATTTTGAATTTATAAAAACTCAGCATCAAATAATAGAAAAATATCAAATAAAGATGACTTTAGTAAACAGAGATGAAATAACAGTTTAAAAAATCAGATTGTGTAAAATAGGGATTTAGATTCTGTTTTTTTTTATTGTTTATTTATTTTTGAGACAGAGAGAGACAGAGCATGAATGGGGGAGGGTCAGAGAGAGGGAGACACAGAATCTGAAACAGGCTCCAGGCTCTGAGCTGTCAGCACAGAGCCTGATGCGGGGCTCGAACTCACGGACCATGAGATCATGACCTGAGCCGAAGTCGGCCACCCAACCGACTGAGCCACCCAGGTGCCCCTGATTCTGTTTTTTTTAAATGTATTTATTTATTTTGAGAGGGAAAGAGAGAGGGGGAGAGAGAGAGAGAGAGAGAGAGAGAGCGCGCGCTCATGGGGGAGGGGCAGAGAGAAAGGGAGAGAAAGAATCCCAAGCAGGCTCTGTGCTGAGAGTGCTGAGCCCCATGCAGGGCTCGACCCCACGAACCATGAGATCATGACCTGATCTGAAATCAAGAGTCAGATGCCTGACTATGTCACCCCGGTGCCCCACAGATTCTTAATTTATCCTCCATTGATGAATGACCATTGTAACACTGGTTTGAGAAGCTGGAGGATTGATGATGTTTGATCCTGAAAAATAATTACATGGAAATCATCATATACATTATAGACATGGCCATGCTCCTCAGTCAAAAACCAAGATGAAAATCTTTCCTGCTCTCAGTGGCCGATGGCAAATGGACTTTCTTGCATTTCTCTTTCTGGTTGCTAGCCCCACCATGACTCCCTTTTTGCATCCATCATCCTTCCCTCAGACCCCAGGATTTCTAAATCTAGCAGTTCTGGTTATTGATTTCACAAGCTATGTTCTTAACCATCTTGGTCGTCCTCCTCCCTGACTTCTGGCCAGCTTCATGCGGAGAGGAACCGCCTTCCTCCCACCTTTGCCTTGCACCCTGCCCAACCTACTCCTTATGAAAAAGCGCCCTTGTAGAAAATGACTTGTTATTTACCACACTTTGGATAAGATGCAAGCACTATGTCATTGCTTCTGGCTTCAAAGTTGTCCAAGGCCTGGAAAGTTTCTGAAGTGCACATGGTGATGGGGTACGGAATCCCCTGATGGGTGAAAAACAAGCGAGAAAGTGCAGTTTCTTTTGATTTTTCCAGAGCTTCATCAATGTAGTCAATAAATTTCGACTTGTTGGCCATGCTGGCTTTCTGCTCATGAACCTGTTCTGTGGTTGTCCGGCGGCAGCCATCGCTTTTAAAGGAGTTTTTCCGGAGGTGGAATAAAGGACTCCTCCCATTCACATGAGAAACAAGTCATTTCATTATCACCCCTTTCTCACCCCTTCCTCCCCCCACCTGCCTGTTTGCACGCCCACCTCTGACAAAAGGCAAACCACAGGTGCAAAAACAGGCTGAGGATCAGGGAGTATTACCCCAGGGGTTGATTATATTACCATTATGGACAATCCTCCCAAGGAAAGTTAGAGTAGAATCTCCGACCAGACGATAATAGATAATAACTATCGAGCAAATAGTTCTTTAATTGAATCAGACATACAATTTTCCATCACCGAATTGAGGAAATTTTAGAAGTCAGCAGAACATATCTTACTGAGGCAGGTAGTACACGTAGGGGAGCAACTTTCAATCTCCGTTTTACAAAGGGAAAAAAGAGCTGACCAAAGAGGGTTCCCAGTTAGATAGGGTTCTGGGTTTCATTTTATTTATAATAATGTCTTTTTAAAATGTTGGTAAAAAGGTAGAATTGGAATGTCCAATTGTCTTACTATTTTTGTATTTCCTTATGTAACAATGGGATGCTATTCACTGTAGGTGGGAAGGTGGTGTATTTCAGAAGCTCCCTCCCCACCCCCTCCCGGCCAAAAAGGGAGGTAAGATTGGACTCCCTGCCAAGCTGCTAAGTGGGATTGCCCCTTACATTATAAAGAGTCTTTGTTTACCTGGGGAAGGTAGAATTTAAGGTATTAATTCAAATACTGCTGTTGTCCTTAGCTTGCTTCTTAGTGAGTAAAATGTTAAAAAAAGACAATATGCCTGGATCCTGTTTTGACAGTAATGCCTGTAATTATAGGAGGATTTGGAGGACTGTTTGGACTTGGTAATGTGAGCTCTGATTCTTCTTAGTCTCCCTGGGCTCAGGGCAAATGGTCAGTCTTACAGTTCTACCTCCTTGACTCTGTTTTATCTGCAAGATTTTATTTTTTAAAGTATTCTCTACACCCAGTGTGGGGCTTGAACTCACAACTCCAAGATCAAGAGTCACATGCTCCATTGACTGAGCCAGCCAGGTGCCCCCCTACTTGACTCTTAAGTGTCTACATGCATGATGCAGGGAAACAGCATGAATGATTGTAAAATAACCTAGATTATATGCTCGTGTGCACTGGTGTGCTTTTGAGTGCGGGTAGGCCCCAGGTTCTGTGCAACCCCAGCTTTCGTTTAGCTCCTGGATCCACCTAGGCTGGAGATAAGTGGTGGGGGGCCTCTCAGACGGCACTGCCCAGGCTTGGTTCACGCTCCTTGGTGGGAGCAGCAGAGAACGTTTGTTTAAAGCTCCTTTTCTTGAGATTACACACATTGCTCCCTCTTTTAAAAAAAATTTTTTTTAATGTTTATTTATTTTTGAGAGAGAGAGAGAGAGAGAGATTGTGAGCAGGGGAGGGGCAGAGAGAGAGGGAGACACAGAATCTGAAGCAGGGTCCAGGCTCTGAGCTGTCAGCACAGAGCCTGACACATGGCTCAAACTCACAAACCACAAGATCATGACCTGAGCAGAAGTTGGATACTTAACTGACTGAGCCACCCAGGCGCCCCGAGACATTGTTCCCTCTTAACTTCTTTTCTTTTTATTTTTTTCTCTAGGCTATGGACTTACGCCAGATGACAGAGAGAGACAGAGAGAATTCTGGAAAGAGAGATTGAGAAAACAGGTGACAAAAAATGTCTAGGGTGATCGAACTCAAGTCTGGTTAGTAAAGCAAGCAAGTGAGGATCAAGAAGCATATGTGCCCATTGGCCTCAGGCTGATTTTTAGGGGCAGGTAAATCAGCCCCTCCTGTGCCATCCCTCCCTTTATGGAGTGGGATGCCCCTTCAGGATTAAATTGTGCTTTTTTTGTCTTCTTTAGCAAGAGAAGTCCTACTTGCTAGTGTAGTACAGGATTGAAATTTACTTTGGAATCCTACATGCAGGGAGAGGGCATAGCCTCTTGGTATTTGGGGGAGTTTATTAAAAATTGGCTTCCCTCTTTAGAACTTGAACACCAGAAAGTCAGGGATGATGTGTATGAGTTAGTGGATGCTGAAAACATTCAGGATCCAGGATGGTTTATCTGGTGACACTTTGACATCCTAGAATGGGGACAACGAAGAACCACTCCACTCCAGCCCTGGGCAGCTGGCAAGGTCCTGCCGCCACTGGCCGTGTTTCAGGGACAGTGCCACCAGAGGCTCAGTCACCCACTGTTCTGTGTTCTGTGGCCCTCCTAAGGGAAGGCTGGGTTGTCACCAAGATCCTGGGCCTCTCTTTTCCAGTAGGTGCCTTTTGGCACCAGTGGCCATGGGTCATCTAATCTCTGTAACCTCATGCCAGTTAATTGAAAGAGCTTTATTTGGAGGATCCCAGACAGGTTGGGTAGCTGCTCTTTCTCTGAGATAACCATGGGAGAATGGTCAGCAAACCTCCTACGTATTTATTAGTGAAGAGATCCCTGTTGCCTTACACCTGCTACTTGTGAGTCTTTCCAATTGACGCTGGTGGGAATCGGTGCCACTTTGAAAATCTGCCATCAGTCTTTCCCACCACCCCCATACCCTCTGCCCTCTACCCCAATTCACTGATTGTATTAACTTAACACAAGTCTCCATTGGAGTCTATATTTCTCCTGTTCTAAACCTTGTGGGCAAATGGTCCTTACCTGCAAACATGTTTGTGAAATCTATGATGGGGTCCAGGATGTGTAAAAAATGAATATGAGGATGCCATATAAGTTTTGTGTAATACCAGGAAACTCCCACTCTAATGGACAGCCTCCTTTAATTAGTTTATATACACTCTCAGTGGAAGTGATTGCGTCTCTGTGCAATTATTTCAGCCTTTGTTATCAAGTTTTTTCTTTTCTTTTTTTTTTTATTTGAGAGAGAGAAGAGAGAGAGAGAGAGAGAGAGAGAGAGAGGGAGAATCTTAAGCAGGCTCCATGCTTAGCACAGAGCCCAACTCTGGGCTACGATCACAACCCTCGGATCATGACCTGAGCCAAAATCAAGGGCCAGATGCTCAACCAACTGAGACGCCCAGGAACCCTTCTTTTCTTTTCTCAATCTGAACCATTCCAATTTACCTTTTCGTCTTGTTTTGTCACCCTGGTTCATATATCTATGTATGTATGTATATAACAAATATAAATATAAATTATATATTATATCATATTGTGTATTAAATACAATATATATTAAACAAATTCCTGGAAGTCATTGGGGCTGCTTTTGAAATGGGAAATATTTATCCTGGGTGAATCTTTGAATAGAAATGAATCTCTAAAGACTGCACATGTCTCAGCTGGAGGAAAAAGAAGAACATTAACAGAGTAGGTAATAGCTGGGGGTGGAGTTCTGAAAAGTTTTGAGAAAAACAGATCATGACAGCAAAAACAATAACTGACAAAATAAAAAAAACAGACCAAAAAAAAAAAAAAAATATATCTTGGGAGAAAAACTGGGGAGAAAGTCAGATATATAATATTAATAGAATGGGGGCTCAAGCCAGAGATTCTTACCATAGAGCAGATAGAAGAGATAGAGACTATACAAAGCCCAGACGTTAAGCGGATACTGATAAAGCCGTGTTGTGGAAGTTGGGGATCTGGATCTGTAGGGATCTGAGTGATCTTGACCAATGACATGCTTTAAATTAGTAGTTTGCAGATCCACATTTCTCACAACTTATGATGGTTTAGTTGTGTAAATGAACCATGTATGCGGCACTGTGGGGTTGTACAGGAAAACTGGGGACATCACAAAGAGCTCCTCAGAGGCACTTCCTTTACCTGGCTTTGACAAAGACAGCTCCAACTAGCTTGCCAAAGACAACTCATCCCTTCTCTAAAACTTCGGGGGTCCTTCAGATTAGTTCCAAGACCCTAGGGGCTCCTGGCTGGCTCAGTCAGAAGCAAGACCCTAATCGCTGTGTACTTTTCATTGGCTATTTGTGAATGTATTTTACCCCTACTAGACTATAACCTCAGTGAAGGTAGATCTGTGTAACTATTTTGGCTAGCCCAGGCTTCGTCTTGTACATAGTACCATAATAGACCTTTATATTCCTTTTCTCCTCTTCCTCCTTCTCCCCTTCTGCTTCTCCTTCAGTCTTCCTTTTGGGTAGTATAGGCAGTGCATCTCAAAATTCAATTTACAAGCGAATTGTCTAGGGATCTGGCTAAAATGCAGGTTCTGATTCAGTAGGTCTGCATTTCCTACAACTTTGTTTTGTTTTTTAAGTAGCCTCCATGACCAGCATGGGGCTCAAGCTCATGTCTCTGAGTTGCTTGCTCTAACGGACTGTGCCAGCCAGGTGCCCCCGTAGGTCTGCATTTCTAAGAAGCTCCCAGGTTGCTGATTCTATCACACTTTGGGTTGCAGAGTGTAGAAAAATAATTGAGCACAGGTTTTCCAGTCAGTGTCCCGAGTTCAAATCCAATTTTAACTCTTGTTAACTCTGTGCTTGTGGGCAGGGTAAAACTCCCGCCTTCTCTGTAAAATGAGATACTCATACCACCCAGTATGACATAGGGTTTTTCTGAGGATTAAATAAATTAACGTACATAGGCGGCAGTCAGGATCTACTTTCTGTAAGGAAAGCACAATAACGGGGCACTTGGCTGGCTCAGTCCGAAGAACATGCCTTCCTTGATCTAGGGGTCGTGAGTTCCAGTTCCACATGGAGTGTAGAAATTATTGAAATAAATAAAACTTAAAAGAAAAATAAAAGGACCACAATAGGGGCGCCTGAGTGGCTCAGTCGGTTGAGCGTCCAACTTGGGCTCAGGTCACAGTCTCACACAGTTCGTGGGTTTGAGGCCTGCATCAGGCTCTGTGCTGACCACTTGCTCAGAGCCTGGAGCCTGCTTCGGATTCTGTGTCTCCTTCTCTCTCTGCCCCTCCCCCGCTCACGCTTTGTCTCACTCTGTTTCTTAAAAATAAATAAATGTAAAAAAAAAAAAAAAAAGCGGGGGGGCGCCTGGGTGGCTCAGTCGGTTAAGCGTCCGACTTCGGTTCAGGTCGTGATCTCACAGTCCGTTAGTTCGAGCCCCGGGTAGGGCTCTGTGCTGACAGCTCAGAGCCTAGAGCCTGTTTCAGATTCTGTGTCTCCATCTCTCTGGCCCTCCCCCATTCATGCTCTGTCTCTGTCTCAAAAATAAATAAAGGTTAAAAAAAATTAAAAAAAAATTTTTTTTTAAAGGAGCGCAATAAAAAGTAATCACGGAGCGGGGCGGGCCCAACGCCGGGAGGGGCGGGGCTTTGGCAACACTCGCGCATGCGCAGTCCGCAGTAAGCGCCTCAGGTAAGAGCGAGGGCTGACTCTAGTTGAGAGTCCTGACTCTTGATCCTCGGAACGCTGAGCCGGGCAGGTTTTCTTTGGCGGGGGTAGGAGGTGGGGGTGGGTGCGTGCTAAAGTTCTGGGTTCATAAGGAGGAAAGTTGGGTGTCGCTATATCCATCCATTCAGCGGGAGAGTCGCGGGAGAGGACCGAGTGTTTCCGGGTCGCTCGGCGACCTTGGCCCCGTGACCGGGCAGTGCAGCCTGCGATGATGCCCGCGGGAGTTGGCTGCGGGCCGGGCGGGAGCGTCCGGGGAGCCCGGGCAGGCGGGAGAGCGCGGGGGGCCGCCGAGATACACCGGAGACCCGGGGGCCCGGGGGCCGCGCGAGGGCCTGAGGATCGTGGGTAGCCAGCCTCAGGCAGCTCCCGGAGGCCTCGCTGGTTCCTTGGTTCTTGACCGTGGGAATCTGGACAAAGTGCTTTAGCTAATCAAACCCAGGGACGTAGCTGAGAAACCTTGCTCTCCAACATCTAGCGTGCGTGTGAGAGACCTTGCTGTGTGATAAATCGTGTTGCCTGCAGATGCCGAGCCGTGTCGGTTTCCAGCTGTAGTGGACGGATGAGGGTTTTCAGACGCAACATTTGCACGTTTAAGCTTGTGCACCCTGAATCAGCTTCTCAGCCCGGTGCTTTGTGAACCCCCATGACGCACAGCCCTGCTTTCCTTCGAGCCCATTCGGGGACTGCTTTCTTTTAAACTTCGCCTAAGTTCTGTCCTTCTCCAAAATCTTGTCTAATCTTGTTCCTCCTCTGCTAGTTAGTAACCTAACTTCGTCGTGGACAGGTATGCCTTTGGTGGTCTTTGTCAACTAGGCTTTATCAGTCGTTATAAACACCTTTACTGAAGTCGAGGGACTTGTAATGTAAAATGTGTGTATATATTTTTCAAAAAGGTAAACACTGAATTATACAGTGTTACTTGTACTTTATGTTTTGAACCCTTAACCTCACCTCCCAACAGAACAAAACCAGATTTTACTTGGATTCCTTACACTGTGGTTATGGCTGCAGTCAGGCTTTATTTTTAAGTTAAAAGAATATTTTTTTTTCACCCGTTGAACATTAAAACTTATCCCACGAGAGGTCCCTGTACCAATCATGACTTACTTGGTGTCAGGTACAGCATTGTAAACAAAACAGTTCTCTATTCCCACCCACTCAGCTGCCTGTTGGTTACATGCAAGTTCTTTATTAACTTCCTCTGCTTCGGTTTTTAAAGATACGAACAATAAAGTTATAATCTTTTAGTCCCCAGGGTGATCATATTATCAAAATGAGGGAAAGGAATTTGGGAGGGAAGGGGCACCTGGTAAAGAGATTAATAGGATAATCCCACAAAGTAGGGTATTTAATTACCCCGTCTGAGGCATTATAAAAAGGAGTCAAAAGGAAATGGTGCAAACGCGTGACCGTGAGCAGAGAACTGGGACTGTAGAATATCACAGAGCTTACCATCTCTGCTCTGCACAGATGTTAGAGAACAAACACTATGACACAGCATACATTGATGATATCAAAATCCTAAGATTAAAAACGACTGGTTTCTCCTGTTGTTGGGGTTCTAGGGAGGCAGAGTAATAACTTGAGTTTATGTTTCATATACTCAGTAAGAGTCATATGTTATTTTCTTGACTTATATAGCCCGTTTCCCTTGTTTAGCTTTTACATTAGAGAAAGAGAATGAAGACTCAAACCCTTTTTGATTGGCTTTTATTTTAATTGAAGCGAATCAAGATCTGAAGTCTAGGTTGCGACTTACTGGATGGTGGTGATCAGTTTTCCTAATGTGGTACAGGGGCCTCTTGTATACAAGTCATTGGCGTTGCGTGCAAATGGGCACCTTACTGGGATGCTAACCCTCAACTTGCTGAATCAGAAAGCTGGGAACTCGGGAACTGCAGGGTGAGGCCCAGGAATGTGCATTTTTAAGAAGCCTTGTGGGTGATGTACTTAGTTTGAAAGTACTGTTAGAATAGCACCTCCCCAGAACAAGTTGATTTGTTGCTCAACTTTGAAATGCTTGGGCTGTGGCACCTAGTTCACTATATGCTGTATAAATAAAATGAAAACCTCCAGCTATGAAACATGTACAACCACTCAGAGAATAGCCTTACTTTTGTAGGGTACTTACAAAGGGCTTTCACATATGCTGCCCATTTAGATCATCTTAATATTTTTTTTGGTTAAAAAGAAAGGATTTACCCTCTCAACATTCTATATTCTTAGGTAATTAAAAATCTTAGTTCCATAAATTGTTGGTTCTTTTTACAGTGCTTTTTTCAGTTTTATCTCCTGCCTGTGCTTTATCCAATGGTGTCTTTGGTTCATTGTGCCCCTTAGGGGTGGAGATTGAAAACTAGGAATGTGGGACATCTAATACAAATAAGTATACAGTATACATCATTCAAACTGGGAATGAATTATTTTTATGGAAGTGGTATTAAGTTTGTATATGTTCACTCAGGTTTACATGTTGTTATTGTTAAACTTAGGATGGCCCGCACTATGGAACCACTGGCAAAGAAGATCTTTAAAGGAGTTTTAGTAGTTGAACTTGTGGGCGTTTTTGGAGCATATTTTTTGTTTAATAAGATGAACACAAGTCAAGGTAATTCTAATTCAGAAGTTAATATTTTCTAGAGGGGTGTACAGTCTGTTAATGCATTTAGGTGCTAAACAGTTTTAGAGAAATTGCTTCTTCCAGGTATTGGGCATTTTTATGGGTATAAGAGGAACACTTGGTGTTAATTATGGACCTAATGACTCTTCTTCCTAAATGTTGTTTGTAGATGAAAGAGAATGTTTCACACTTCTATGGATTTTACTAGTCGGGGGCATAGAGCAAGTATTTTTGGTCTGGCTTAGTTTGGGAACATGGGTGGAAGAAATTCAGCCTGCCAATTATACCTCATCGTCTGGTAGAGTAGTGGTGGCATAGCTGAATCATCAAATAACCACTCTCAAAGGCTATCGTATCTGAGTTCTTCCTGTGTGTCAATATTGGACACTAAAAACCTTTCCCATGCCACTGGCTATCACTGAAAGTGCTTGACATTTTGTGGGGGGAAATTGTAGAGTCCTCAACTTTTTGAATTCTTAAGTGGTGCTTTCTTTTCCTAAAGCAGATAATAGTAGTCCTGGGTGGTGGCCATCTTTGAAACTTATCATGTGTCTTCTTAAAGTATTTTAGTGCAACACTGTGTTCTGGATGCTATCTATTCGATCTCACAAAGTCTCTACACTTTTCAAGTGTAAGGGTGTAAAAGAAAACATCGACATGGAATTTAAGAGCAAATTAGTTTCTAATTATATTAAGAGGGTAAAATAGAATCCATCGAACAATGAATTGTTTTTATGGATTCCATTTTGCCTTAGTATGGAATTAGAAATACGTCTACTCAGTTTTTTATCTCAAACGTCATAGCTAATGTGTCTCAAACACATTAACAATGAAAAGTTGCTTTTTGTCCCTTTTCTAAATAAATTACATCATGTATACAAGCCAAATTTGAAAAACTCCAAAAGGAACTATGGGAGGCAGCATGTAAGGCAAGTACAACTTACACCCTGTCCAAAAGGATATAGTTCCTGATTGCCAGAAGGACCTTAACACAGATTCTTATCTCATAAACCCTAAAGCTAGCACTAATTATGGACTCTATGCTTTAATATTTAATTTTAACACTTTTTCTCCATCAGATTTCAGGCAAACAATGAGCAAAAAATTCCCCTTCATCTTGGAAGGTATGTTTTAAGAGTGTACAAAAACTTTTTCAGGTACCCTTTAGGTAATTTTTTAAATGACCAATTAATGGTTGAGACTTTAATTTTGTGGTGTCAATTTCCAAGAATTACTGCCTATCCCTATTTTAGCTCCTCTGAGAACACAGGGTGGAGAAAATTCTCATTTGGAGAGGAGAGTAGTTAGCCAGTGGTTAAAAATGTAGACTTTGGAATGAAACCTATCTGAGGTGGTGATGGAATCAAATCACTACCTAAAACTTGAGTGACCTCTGGTTTGCTAATTTCTTGGGAGCTGTTTCTCCATACAGCAGTGATGATAATGGCCATCTTTATGAACTGTTATTAGGATTAAACAAGATGACATTGTGTAATCACTTAGCGCAGTATCTGCTATAAAGTAATGCTTAACAAATAGTGCTTATTATAACAGTACAGATGCTAGAGGGCTTGTAAGTGAAATACGTATCCTACTGTCTTTTTTACTTTACTATTAAGAAATAAGGAAAAGAGGTTTGATTTCTTTCAATATAGTTTAATTTTGACACTTTTACATGATTTTATAAATGACAGCTGTCTTTATTTATAGTTTATTACAAATCCATTGAACAGTCTGGAATGTATGGAGTCAGAGAGCAAGATCAAGAAAAATGGCTGAATAGCAAAAATTAAGAGTAAGTACAATTTTAACTTATAGTTTATTTAGAAAACAATCAATTTCTTTGCTTTTTAATTTTCTGAGTGGTTTTTGGCCTCTTCTTTTTGAAATTTTTCTTTTTCTTGATGATACTTTTTACATCTCTGTTGTGTAGCCAGTCATCACGTTCAGCCTCCCATCTAAGCTGTTTGAGACCTTTGTGGGGAAGAAGAAAGATGAACACACCATGTTGTAGACTCCTGGCCCCACAGAACAAAACAGGAACTTCTGGTCTGCTATGGCTTACTCATGTCCCATCCACTATGCAAATCCCCTGCTCTTGTTTGTTGCTTTCCTTCTGCATTTATTGTTAAAGATTACTGTTTAACAAATAAAAGACTAGGTCAACAAAGGAACAAATACCCTAAAGATTTTATTTCCCCTGAACGCTTTTATTGGCAAAAGAACAGAAGCCAGTAACAATATCAGAAATTATGTCTATAAAGTACTTATAAAGCTACTAAGCGTACTCACAATATATAAAAACTGCCTCTCTAAAAGAATTAAACAGTTTAAAGTAACTACAGTCTTTATTACAAAATGTTTTTTATATTTATTTTGAGAGAGAGAGGGAGACAGAGTACACAAGTGGGGGAGGGGCAGAGAGAAGGAGAGACAGAATCCCAAGCAGGCTCCGCAGGATCCACAAATCATGGGATCATGACCTGAGCCGAAATGAAGAGTTGGATGCCTAACTGACTGCATTACCCAGGGGCCCCAAACGTAACTACAGTCTTTATTGCTGTAGTCTAAATGCTTTTTAATCCTACATGCTCCCCAGACACTGATGAAAAAAGCCATTCCTTCAGGGTTGTAAGGAACCATTTTATTTATCCTTACTAAAAAAGGTTGTCTAAAAATACATCTTCGGAAGTTGTAAGTTAAGGCTATTTAAAAACCTCCATAAAAATTCAAGTTACTTACTTGCATTGTCTTTGTTAGCCATGGCATTCATGCCAATGTTATCAAACTTGGATCCCATATTTTCATCCAGTAGGTGGCCAAACTTAAAAAGAGATACATTTATTAGAAAACTCAAAGCAGTGTAGAATAGCTAGCTTTTTTAAAAAAAATTTTATTTTTTAATCTCTCCACCCAACATGGGGCTTGAACTCACAACCCTTAGATCAAGAGTCCTGTACTCTACCGACTGAGCCAGCTAGTTACCCCCAGAGTAGCTAACATCATGAAGCAGTATTTTAACCTTACCTCTTCAGCTGATACAAATAGGCTGGAGTCATTGAAATTTCCTTTCTTTTTTTTCCTTGGTCCTAAAAAAAGTGTAAGTGTAGGTTATTAAATTGTAAATCCATTAATTTTGGAAAAATACAACATTTTTAAATTGAAGTATAGTGGGCACACGTTACATTAATTTCAAGTATATGACACAGTGATTCAACAATCTTTCAACATAGTTTTGTTGTAAAAAAGTTGTATTTGGGTTAAAATACAGAATTACAGTTTCCTCATAGCACCATTAAGTAGCTGGCATTTTAAAATAAATATATTTTATTTAAGAGTTGGTATATAGTACTTTTAAAATTGTATCCTAATAAAATTATTTAGATGACAAATAGTGTCTTCTTGACTGCCTTTCCAATTTGGCCACTGATCAAGGTTTACCTAATTTCATAGTATCAGGCAAGATTAATTCTAAGGGTGACATGGATGAATTTTGGAATTTTTAAGGCAAACTGTAAATTCTCATTAAGTCAGAGGTTTTATTCTTTGGACTAACAGTGAAGAAAGTGATGGAAGGTATATTATGTTGTAAATGAAATTTTTGTTTACACTTCTCAAAATGGTTCTCCTTAGAAAAAATAACTCAACTTATAATTGTGAATATAAACTTTTTTTAAGTTTGTTTACTTATTTATTTTGAGAGACATTGGGCGCAAGAGAGGGGTAGGGGCACAGAGAATCCCAAGCAGGCTCTGCGTTACCAGCAGAGCATGACACAGGACTTCAACTCATGAATGTAAGATCATTACCTAGGCTGAAATCAAGAATTGGGACGCTTAACTGACTGAGCCACCCACATTCTGAACATATACTTTTCAAAATAAAAAACTAGAACATCTATTTCTAATATTCATTAAATTTTAATTCATACACTAATAAAAATTTTTAAAAAATGGCTCTACTAGATGCAAAGAATTTGAGTAATATTGTTTCAGAAAAAGTGAAAATGGATAAAAACAGTATTTCTAGTTAATATATTTTAGATAATGTGATTTTAACTAGAAATACTGTTTTTATCCATTTTCACTTTTTCTGAAACAGTATGACTCAAATTCTTTGCATCTAGTAGAGCCATTTTTAAAAAATTTTTATTAACTATGGGGCACCTGGGTGACTCAGTTGGCTAAGCATCCAACTTTGGCTCAGGTCATGATCTCAGTGCGTGAGTTCAAGCCCCAGGTCAGGGTCTGTGCTGACAGCTCAGATCCTGTCTCCCTCTCTCTGCCCCTCCCCCATTCACATTCTGTCTCTCTCTCCCTCTCAAAAATAAACAAACATTAAAAAAAACCTTTTTTTGATTTTTATTTACTTTTATTTTTTGAGAGAGAATATGCATGTGTGAGTGGGGGAGGGGCAGAGAGAGAGGGGAGAGAGAGAGAATCCCAATTAGGCTCCACATTGTCAGCGCAGAACCTGACATGGGGCTTGATCCCATGTACCATGAGATCATGACCTGAGGCAAAATCAAGAGTCAGACACCCCATAGTGGGCCAATTTTTAAAATAGCTTTATTAGGGAATAAAATTCATAATAAAGCTCAGCTGTTTTTAAGTGTGTAATTCAGTATGTTTTAGTAAATTTACAGAGTTGTTCAACGTCATCACAATGCAATTTTAGGACAATTCCATCAACTCCAGATCCTGGTGCCCATCTGCAGTCATGTGCCCTTTTCCCAAGAAGGCTTTTGCCTTTTCTGGTTATTTCATGTAAGTGGGATCATGATGTGGTATTCTGTATTTGGCTACTTTCACTTAGCGTAGTAGTTCTGAAGCTCATCCATGTTATAACATGTAACAGATCAGTACTTAATACCATTTTATTGCTGAGTAATATTCCATTATCTATTCTTTAGTCAACAGACATTTAAACTGTTCCCACTTTTTGGCGGTTAATAATAATGGTGCTACTAACAATCATGTAAAGTCTGTGCATTGATACCAAAGCCACTTTTGATAAAATAGTTTCTACAGCATTTCATCTCAAATTTTGTGTATCCTTAAATGGGACACTGTTATTGAGTATTTTCTCTTTAGCTAAAATTCCCATTTGTGTATAGCACTTGGAAACGTGTTTTTGGTGTTCACTCACATTATATGTATACATCTATAACTTCAACTGGTGAGCCCTGTTACTGCCCTCTTAAAGTTGCCTTAAGGTTTGTTTATCCTTAAGGATATCCAACATTTGCAAATATAGGGTGAATACCAACCACCTCTCCCCCTGCAATTTATCAATGTTTGAAATTCCTTTGCCTTCTTTTGTTTTAATCAATTATGTCAGGTATCCTTTAATTCAAAACTATTGTCAGCTGAGATCTAACACCTTTCAGGCTCTGGTCTTCAGAAATAACAGTAAGGTCACTGAGAGAGCATCTTTTAATGAAAGTCTCAGTAGGACTTACGATAAAGCAACATTTTTAAGTTTACTTATTTGAGAGAGCACAGGGGGGAGGGGTGGAGAGCGAGACAGAGATCCCAAGCATGCTCTGTACTCAGTGCAGAGCCTGACATGGAGCTTGAACTCAGGAATGCTGTGAGATGATGACCTAAGCCAAAACAGTTGCATGCTTAGCCGACTGAGCCACCCAGGTGCCGTTTTCATAATTTTAAGTAACCTCTACACCCAACATGGGGCTTAAACTTAGAACTCCAAGTTGCATGCTCTGCTGACTGAGACAGCCAGGAGCCCCAATGTTTCTTTTTGGAGATGATTTTGGGGAAAGCCGTCTTATATTTGAGCACAGGCTAGTATTAAATTGCGACCTTACACCACTCAACGGATGACAAAATCTGAAAGATAATGTTATCATTTACATATCAGGTAAGTCAATCTAATTAAGAGGACTATGGTTGTCAGTACTTGAAAGGGCTTATAAAAGTTTTGCAGGTATAAATGTCTGAGAGACTACTACCAAAATATAGTTATTATTTTTGATACTTATTAGCAAAAATATTTAATGTCCAAAATATTTTAACATTTAATTTTAAAAGAAATGTTGTCAAGCATTTTAATTATTTTTAACTTTGCAAATCTATTTTTATTCGTTATCAGTATTTATTAGTCAGCAGAAACGAGACATTAGAAGCAAAGCATAGAAAAAAAGTAAGCCTATGAATTTATCACAGATTTCAGGAATAAAATATAATGCTTTCTACATCACAAAAAATTTTTTAATGTTTATTTAGTTTTGAGAGAGAGACAGAGAGAGGGAGCGCACAAGCAGGGGAGGGGCAGAGAGAGGAGACACAGAATGTGAAATGGGCTCCAGGCTCTGAGCTGTCAGCACAGAGCCTGATGTGGGGCTTGAACACACAAACTGTGAGATCATGACCTGAGCCAAAGTCAGACGCTTAACCCACTGAGCCACCCAGGAGCCCCCTGCTTTCTATACATTTATCAAAAAGTTAAAATTGTCACCTGATACAGTACCTTTTTCTTTTATTACCACTTTACAAGTGTTAACATTAAAAGGCATAATCTGTTATGATATACTTTATAGATGATCGAGAGATTTAAATAAGAAAAAAGTTATGAAGAGAAAATAATTGAAGGCATATGTGGCAAACAACTTTCACATATTAAAAATAGAGAAAACCGTTATTATCCATTATAAAAACAAAAACTAAATTGTACTAACCAATTAAGAAGTTTCCCAAAATAATAATGAGTGGTAACTTTCCCATAACCACTGTTTAGATTTAAAAAAGAGTAAATGCATTCCTTACCTTGAAATGATCCAGCAAAGTCCAAATCATTTGCACCTTTCCTTTTGCTTCTCTTTGTATTGATTTTGGAGCTGACGTCATCAACTTCTATTTCAAAAAACCCAAAACAAAAAAAACAACACCATGCTATTAAGCAATTTAAAAAACAGAACTGCCACTGGGCTAAGAAAAATGATTATTTTGACTAACTTTTAGAAATAATTACTACTCTAAAACTTAAAAAGGGGAACGTAACAGCTCAACAGGTATTGAAGAGACAGCTTAAGTGCTGATTAAAATAAAAGCCCAAACACCTGGGTGACTCAGTAGGTTGGGTGTCCAATTCCTGATTCTGGCACAGGTCATGATCCCAGGGTGGTGGGATCAAGCTCTACATCAGGCTCTGCACTGAGCATGGAGCTTGCTTGGGATTCATATTTCTTTCTCTCTCTCTCTCTCTCCCCCCCTCTCCTTCTGCCCCTCTTCCCCAGCTCATGCTCCTTAAAATAAAATAATATATATACACATATATATATTTATGTATATATATGTATATATGTGTGTGTATATATATATGTAA